TCCGTTGGTCGACCCGGATCGCACACCTGGCAGTGGTTGGTGAGTCTCCCAACAAGGGTTTTCTGCATCCACAAGAACTCGAACCCGAGACTTTGCTTAAGCGACATCAAACTGCTTACCACTTGAGCCAACCCATGTTGATTTTTGCACCAGTTTTTAATTACTATTTTCATATATGAAGGTATAGTGTTACCAATTCAAAATGTTCTTTAATTATGGTAAACTCCTTAAATTATGTTTGTGGGGATGTCCCAAAGGATGCATCAGATAATCCCAACACCGTTGCACCATTTCGCCGGTCGACTTCTCCCCAACTCTCTCTGAACCCCACCCCCACCCCCCGTCAGCGACCAGCCTACCGGTCACTACGGATTATAAGGTCGGGACGATGAAGTTCTGTTCTGGGATAGGTTGGTCACGTTGACAACCGAAACCACCGAAGGCGTCAAGGAGATGGGTTTGAAAAATATGGAGAAATTGTGGAAAGGTGGCAACCAACTTTTTGCTATCAATCATGAGATTCTGGACTTATTGGAGCAATTCGGAGCGGAGCACTTTGAGCAAGGCGAGTGGGTTTATTCGAAGTTGAGGCCTTATCGTCAGTGCACGATTTTACAAATGTCGTTGTATAAGCTCGAACGCCGATTTTACAGACCATATCAGCTCAAGGAGCACATGAGCAATGTGGTGTATCGACTTGAATTGCCGACCGAGTCTTAAATTCATCCAATCATCCATGTTTCACAGCTGAAAAAGAGCATATGTGAAGCACATAAGGTTGAGACGCGGTTACCGGCAATGGATACGGGAGGACAACTCATTGTGCGTCCTAGACATGCGTTAGACTATCGTCGAGTGAAGAAGGCGGGCGGGCGAGTTGTCGGAAGAGGAGGGGACGTGGGAAAACATGCATGATATACATATTCAGTTTCCGACTTTTATCTTTGAGGACAAAGATTTACTTAAAGGGGACGAGAATGATGCGAACGAAGGTCGACGAGTCTTGAGGGGCAAGCTAGCCTAATTTCCTAATTTAGTTATTGCTATAATTCTCTTCCTAATTGGCATAGGTGTTTGATTATTCTAAACCATAGTTATTTATTTTTCTTACTATTAGAATTTATCTCGTGATAGATTTCTCTTCTTTAAATAACTTCTGTAATCCCCCCTATATATTAATACAGAATGCGCTGAGCCTACGTGGTTGCTTTTAGTGCTTCGGAATCCTATGTGGCAAAATTACATGATTCGTTATTAGGCTTGGGTAAATTTTAATTTAATTCCAAATCAAAAATAATTAGGTGCGGATTACCATAAATATGTTGATTATTTATGGCCATGTTACATGTATTAATTGTATTTTAATATCATTCCTTATTATAACTATTGAATTATATATATTTTTTAAAAGTTAATAACTTTTATATTTTTTTATCAGTTTTACATATGTAATATATCAA